TTATAATTCAAAATAACATTCGTGCTAGTAAAAAAGAATGTAAAATTGTAGTTGAAGTTATTGCTTTGTTTCAGAAAAGATGAAATTCAAAGCTGCTCTGCATTGAACCCGCAACCCGCCCGCCCGTTTTAAAATTTTTAAAAACTGTTTTAACCCGCCCGCACCCGCATAAGAGTAAACCCGCCCTGCATCCGCCCCGCCCCATTACCATCCCTAGTAAGACTAAATTTAAAGAGACTGGATGAAGTCTCAAGCAGGAATGCATCCATAGAAATATGATAATGAGTTTCTTTTATTGCATGACAAAAAAATGTATATTACATTGGTAACAATGTACACCACCTAACCTACCCATGCTTTAAGATTGAAGTTTTTACCAAAAACCTCTTAAACAAAGAAAGATATTGTAATGAGTTAGTATAAGTCAAAAATAATCCTCATAACAAGAAGCCAAATATATATGTGCAATTTTGACAACTATACTTGCAACAACTGCAGTTATAAACTATTTTGAAGTGTTTTGGAAAACCCTCCAATATCAATCTTTTATTACACGAATGAAAAACACTGGTTGTTGCAATAAAGAGGCTGCAATATTTAGCATGGGAGGCTTTTCATTAAAAAATATTTTTCTGCTATACCCACAGTATTTATTACTCATTTCAAATCATTTTCTCAAATCCAATAAAATATGCATCAATTAATATGGATATCATGATAAATTATGCACTTCATTTATTATTTCTTAACGGACGTGAAAAGTGAAAACGTATCAAGTAAAAGTATACGGAAGGAGTATGTAGTACGTAATTTATTAATTGCACGTTATGGCCTCCCATTACTGTTTGACTGAGATTAACTTATAATGTCCTGAGAATCTCACAAAACTCCAAATTTCATAACTGTGTAAGGATTAAAATTGTGAAACACCAAAAAGGGAGGAAAAAGAACAGAAAATATATCCTGAATCGACCATTCAAATTTCAAGCTTTCAACTCTTAAGTAGTATAAAAGTTTCTTGAACTGATTCCTTTGCCTAGCTATGAAATCTCCCAATCGCATCAGAGCCCTATACAAATTTACAAAAACCTCACCAACTCTCAAATTTGCTTCCATCCTTTTATGTAAAATACTACTAGTATACTCAAACCTTTTTATCAACTGAACAGAGAAAGGAGATGGAAGATATTCTACTTCTCATAAACTCCAAGATTTCAGAAGCAGAGGGTCTGAGACTGGAACAATCACTTAAGCACAATGCTGCAAGCGATGTCATAGCCTTAGCTTCCTCCAATTCATAATCCCTGTTAAGGCGCGGATCCACCATTTCAGCTACTTTAGAGGCATTCTTTAAAACAGGAGCAGCTTTTGATATTAGTCTCTCCCCACTATCTGAGGAAAAGGCTTCAACCCCTGAAATGAGTTCTAAAATAACAACTCCAAAGCTATATATGTCATTTTTCTTGGAGGCAATGCCAGTTCTCAAGTAGTGAGGATCAGTATAGCCTGGAGAACCAAGCATCAGACGGTTCGTTGGTGGCAAAACTGAAGAAGAAAATCCCATCTTTGCTGACCCAAAATCACAAAGCTTGCAGTTGAATTGCTTATCTAACAATATATTTGAAGCTTTGATATCACTATGGACTATTTGTAATGGACATTTGTCGTGGAGATATTCAATGGCTTGACCAAGTTGAAATGCCACTGTCATACGGTTTCTCCATGGAATAATTATGTCTCTCTTCCCGTGGAGTTTGTCCTGTAAAGTCCCATTTGAAACATACTCAAATACAAGCATATTGCCTAATTGTGCGTCGTCACAGTGATCAAGAAGCTTGACAATGTTATCATGTTGGATTTGAAGCAAGATGTCTAATTCTTGCTTGTAAATTCTGTTGAGACGCTCGCTGCTGCTGTCCATGATCTTGACAGCTCCTAGAGTTAAATTAGGAAATTCAGCTAAATAGACAGTGCTAAATCCTCCACGGGCAATCAAATTAGACGTTGAGAAATTCGTGGTGAATTTCTTCAACTCGCCGCTAGTATATCTTTTCAAGTGACCTGCAATTGTTGTGCAATCCAATTCATCATCTTTATCGTCTTCCACAAAAATACGGGCATCAGCTACTCCACCGCGCCTTATTAGATTATATCCAAAGCACCTAAGGAAAGCCATAACGGACAGGAAAATTAGTAACAACAAACACAAGTCGTGCTGGTTGCAGAGGCAGAATCAAAATTTAAACTTGGTTCAAGCTAAGATTTCGAGTTTCTTGAAAAATATATATACTACTTTTTTATGAATGAATACTATCCATTGCCATTTGTGTGGGATTTATAAAAGGGGCAGTGACGGTGGAGTGGCTAACAGCTTCAGTGCCAGTGGTGGGTAGAATTGACAAGTATATTAGACTCTGAAGCTACGGGGAAGGAGGTAAAAGAAGAGAACAGACCCACACAAAAACAGTATTAAAAACTCAACCAAGAAGAGCACCACCTACAGACAAACAGACCAATTTCTTTTCCCATACCCGTGTGACTTTGAAACCTTATTCTTCTCTTTTGGCCCTTTATATTACTGTTGGACGGTGAGGCTTCCATGAGAGTGCATAGTGCTTACCCAAAAGTCAAAATAAAGGATCTATCTAATTAAGGAGGGGGGAAATGCATGTACTCCTAAAATAGGGTACTACCATTAAATTATTAAAATTCAAAGTAGTAGGAAATGAATTGTTTAATAAACTGTGTCAAGTTTATATTCATGAATTGGCATATGGAAAAGCAAAAGCCGCACTCCCTTTGTTTCCTTCAATACGATGGATTGACTAAAGATGAATCTTAAAATGTTAGTTTGACACGAAATTCAAAATATTATTTTGATTGAACACAAAATCTAAGGAAAAAACAGGCTGATACACATAAGCTAAAAAACATGAATAAAATACCAAAAATTATTTCGTAACAAGCCATTTGTTTTTTATCCAGCGAGACCCACAACAAGTTATGCCAAAGGCAAATGGATATGTAACATATAATATTGTAGAAAAGAGACTATTTTGGATCGGATCAGAGAACGTCGACGTCAAACGAATTGAGACAAAGGGAATCATAGTGAAAGCAAAATATTAAAATGACAACATAATTAAAAGGTAATTCTGATTTAAAACATCAAACCATAACTCAAAGTATGAATAACTTTAATGATTTGAATTCTCGAATATTCTTGTTCAGAAACGAGAAAATGTCAATTCAAGGCTATTGAATAATGAAAATATATACTACCTTCCGTTCTCATTTAGTTGTTATGTTTATTTAAAAAAACATATTCTCAAATACTTGTCAATTTAAAAAATCAAGAGAGAAATTAATTTGTTTCCAACTTGCCCTTAGCATTAATTGTTCTAGAATTAAGATGCACGTAAATAAAAAAAATTAGAGAACTAATAAGAGATAAGTTAGTCAAATTACACTTCCCATTAATATTTTCTTAAGGGTTGTACAAAACCTTACCGTATTCATTTTGTTTCATTTTATGTGATACACTTTTCTTTTTTATTTATCTCAAAGAGAATATTATCTTTCCATATTTAAAGATAATATAATTTAATAAAAAAATTTACAATGATTAATAATTACACAAATTTTTAAGACTTATTCTAAACGAAAGTTTTTAATAGAAATTCATTTCCTTATATTCCACCAACTCAAAACAGTACCACATAAATTGGTATGGAGAAAGTAATAGTTAGTGCATAATTTTCTGGATAAGTAATTGCACTTAATAAATTCATATGCGTCATGGAATGTAGAGATGAGAAGCTTCTTGTGGTCATTCCTCTCTTTGATCTTTGCGTATGCGCAGGGGGGCCCTCTTGTGTTTCCCCGTGTGTGTATGGGCATCAGGTTCGTAGTATTTGCGTTGGTTTTTAGCTAGATTTGTTTTAAATTTGTTTGGTGCAAATTAATATAAAATGTTTTCTTCTTCAATTTAAACATTTCTCTTTTTGATATTTTGTTTTCTAATTTTCATCATTGAGGCACCAACCAAATCAAAAAGTGCCTCAGCGAATTTCTGACAAGCAATTTCGCACGATATGGGGATGTTGGATTAGGTGTTGTACAAGCGAGGAAAAAATCATACATTGAATTTATTCCCCCTTTTTTCTTTCTCCTCTTTTTCATTGTTTTCGGTTTTTGATAAAACAAATCGATAGGAGAAAAGAATTTGATTAGCATCCAAGGGTTGATTTAGTAGTCACTGTCACTGACGTGGTAAATTTTTTGAGAAATTAGAGTTTAAAATTCCAATAGAAACAAAAACGAAAAAAGTCACGAGTGATCTCTTGCCATGTACTTAAATTTTACTAACCAAAATTACTCGCTACCTGTCCTTGCGAGAAGTAGCAGCTATCATATGAGTTAATCGAGCTACCAATGAAAAAAGTCAAGTGATGCACAAACTGATTTGATCATTACAATTATAAAAAAATAATAATAGGAGTAATGAATTAATGCAAGTTTAACAAACACGTCTACCGTGCAAGATATGAACGTTCAGCCCAGTGTTTAAAAAGGCATTTCCGGAACACGCCTTTGGGCGGGGCACTTCCAAAACGCCCCGGGGCTCATGTATAGGGCTTAGTTTTGTGAGGCTTACGCCCCAAGCGTCCGACCGTGCGCCCTAAACACGCCTAACGTCCAACGCTCGGGGCTCGCCTAACAGTTCTAACGCAAATCACGTGTCGAATTTTCTAATTAATATCGTTGACCTTCAAAAAGTTTTAACAAATTAATGATAAAAGTTCTATTCATCGATAGAAATATGAAGATTGAACATAACTCTAATAATGAGACCTATTATTGCGAATTTATATCTTCACTTGTTATTGGCCGAGTCTTAGTTCTTTTGTCCCTCCTTGTTATACACTTTTATTAATTTGATATCTTAAACAAATTTGTATTTATTCATGAATGAGTAATATATTAATTATCGTAGATTTTATTAATTATTTACTTTTAGGAAGGTAAAATGTGGAGTTTGATCATATTTATAAAGAAATTATAAGTTTTTAATTATTTGAAAGTTAAAGACGTTATACGTGATTTGTATGCATTTGTTATACTTAATAATCATGCTAGATATTTTTTTTCCTATGAGTTCCTTTAGTTTTCTTTTAATTTTGAACTTCTAATTTATATTTTATATTTTTTTGTGTTATTATGTTATTTTATTAATTTATAAATTAAAATTTTTAAAGATTCATGGGG